TGAATTTTAAATTTGATTTATTGAGTATTTCATTTTCAGGCTTTCCATTTGGTTCTTTTTTCAGAATGTCTATTGAAATAGTCTTACACTCCCTGATTTTCTCTTAGTTCATTCCTTTGTTCTCCCATAATTTCATTAATAATTTTAACTATCAACTTTCTGAACTCTTTATCTGGAATTTCTACCACCATGGTGTCAATGGGATCAGATTTTGAAGTTTTGTGAGCTATTTGTTCCATTACTCTTTCACATTGTATTTCTACCCATTTTTGGGGATGATTATATTTTCTTTTCTTTTTTTTTTTTTTTGAGAGAGAGAGAGAGAGAATTTTAATGTTTGTTTATTTATTTTTAGTTTTCAGCGGACACAACGTCTTTGTTTGTATGTGGTGCTGAGGATTGAACCCGGGCCGCACGCATGCCAGGCGAGCGCGCTACTGCTTGAGCCACATTCCCAGCCCGGGATGATTATATTTTCTACTGTTATATAAGGGATTTTTTAGTGAGTTGCTTTCTTTCTTCCTTTATTTTCTAATTTTGTTAGTTGTAGATGGATACATACCTTTATTTTTATTTCTTTATTTTTTATGTGGTGGTGAGGGTCGAACCCAGGGTCTCACACATGCCAGGCAAGCGCTCTACCACTGAGCCACAACTCCAGCCCAAGTTGCTTTCTCTTTACAAAGTGCCCCAGGCTGAGTGAATATCTAAGTGTCAGTATTTCCACTCAATATGTACCTGCTGTCATGCCCAGGACCTAGCACCACTTTGAGAGAAGATTTTAATCTCTACTAACAGTAATCACTTTAGAATGAAACCATATGATAATAAGCCTTTAAAAACTGATTGAAAATGTTCTCCACAATTCCTCTAATCCAAGTATATAATGACAATAATGTTATTGCATATATTGAGAGATTTGGTACTAAAATAGTAAGATTACTACAGAAGTTACTTGTATTATATAACCTTTCAGTCTTCCCTTTACATAGAATGATTTCATAGAAATATTTTCATTTCCTGAATTTATAAACATATTCTTTTATGTAAAACTGTAAATATTGAATAACTCACCAAGAAGATGATGTCAGATGTTACTACCAATTCTGAGATCAACCATCCTACAGTAGTCTAATGCAGGATGGCCAGAAACCATCATATCTATGAAGATATTAAATGTTTGAGAGGGAAGAAATGTGCAGGGAATTCCTTAATGAATTGTTGTTAGAGAGCTGCTGGTTCCCTGTGTCTTGCCCTTCTCTTCTAAGTCTAGAAGCAGGGCCTTCAGTGGTTAATGTAGATTGGTATCTTATTCCCATATGAGATTACCAAATGATTAGGAGATTTGTGGTTGGGTGTGATGGTAGAGCAAAGGGAATCATCAGAATTTGTTCAGGCAAAAAATTTTCTGAGCTAGGTACATTATATGCTTCAGAAAGAACCAGCTTGATTAAAACCAATCCAAAGAGCATTTTAGTGGGAAAACAGTGGTTGGCAGAGAAGGCAGAGGTGGACTTCTGTGCTGTGTATTCCAATGATGAAATATGAGACCATGGAAATAGGTACATTCTCCCACATTGAGGAAACTGCAGGTGAGAAATCACCAGTGGTGGTCAGGTCTATAAACCATGACAAGATCACTTATGAAAGAGCTAACTTTAAATGAATGCTGGACCCAGAGGGTGAAAAATTGACTTAGGAGCACCCAGTGGTGCACTGATGAATGATTAACAAACAGCCATCTGAGAGTGTGGGTGGAAAGTGTTAAAGAAAAAAAGAAACTATTTAATGACACTTGTTAAAGCATTGTAAGGACGACCTTATTATAAAACAACTTTGATAAGTACAGAAAACATGCAATGGGGTCTTGCAGTTTTGGGGAGATACTGGTCTCAACTTCAAACACATTGTGGGGCAAGTGGGAATCCATAGCCAAGAAGCAGTGTGGGATTCAATGAGTGGAAAGTTACTAAGAGGTAGAACATCAATAATAAGGGGAATCCTGGATAAACTGATCTAACAGAATTCTTGTTAAAGACAAGTCTGTATGATCAGACATAACCTGGGAAAAGGTGGAAAATGAAGAACCCAATCAGATAATGGGGGTGATCAGATATCCAGAGCTAAACTCACTTATTCAGACTGTTTGCTAAAACTGGATTTTTCAAGGAAGTATACAGATGGGCTCAGAAGAAAGTTCAGAAGCCTGGCTAAAGTTTGGACAAGCAAAGAATCTTTGGTAGGAAGAAAATGCTGATTTGTAGCATTTGAAGATTCTGTAATGTAAATAACTTGTTTTAAACTTATTCTACACATTATGGTTTCTTCTTTCCTCTTCTCCTCCTCCAATGACCTAGTAAGTAAGATGTAGCAAATGACTAGCAAATAGTAGATTTTTCATATGTATTGTGCTACACACACACACACACACACACACATAGTTGTCAATGAACCTTTATTTATTTATTTTTTTGCGGTGCTGAGAATTGAACCCAGTGCCTCACGCATGCTATGCAAGTGTTATACCACTGAGCTACAACCTCAGCCTTGCACTTATATTTAATATTATTTAATTAAAAGTTTATATACTTTAATAGGTGGCTATTTGTGATAACTGACTTTGAAATTCCTAAAAATTGAACAATTGTCTTCACAAAGTAGTAGGAGCTGGTTCCAGTATATTGACACCCTTTACTAGGAAATTCCTGTTTCCCTCTCTCTGTCATCCCTGTACACCAATCCTGGAGGGATCAGTCTTTATGGTTAGCAAAAGGGAAGAGATGAACCAGAGAAGAAGAAATTATAATGTGTAGACTAAATTTTGGAAGTCTCAGTTCTTTCAGAATCTTACTTGAAGGAAAGTGAGCTAATCCTTCATTTAACAATATAAGCATTATATTAGGGAGAACACGTAAAAGATGTATGGCTGCAGGAATGAAGATATAAAAGGAGAAATATGACAAATCAAAATAATGTACATTCTAGTTGGGCTTATATTCATTGTGCTTCATTACTCGTGCATAATCTACTCCAAACAAGACCTGCCAATACTGACTGACTTCTGCCCTTTACTCATGTAACTAGCTTGTAAATGATCAGCTAGAACTCAGCTTTGAACTGCCCTAAATGTTATTTTTCTCTTTGTTAGTATGCACTACAATAAATTAAGAGCCAATTTTAGTTTTAATGGCATTTGGTGTCTGTGCCATGGTGGTCAATTTGGTTATCTCACTTTTAGTAAGATTAAGATCAATCAGTGGGTTTTAGTGTTGTTAGCCTGATCCATTCATTATAAAATTCCCCATCATATTTTTGACTAATGATTTTAGCAGCTATGATGATCATTGTCTAAATCCATTGTTTTGTGGATGTAAATGTTAAATTTTTAATTCTTTCATTTTTTCTGTATTCATTAGCTGTGATTTCTCTATAAAAATACATAATATATACTATTACAAAAAGGAAAATATCTTGCCCTCATTGAATCTGGTTATCCTGAATTTGAATTTCAGACATAGAAGTTTTCTATACTTAGCTTAAGTCAGGTGATGTTTGGAAGAAGTGCTATGTACCAGGGGAAAATCACCTCTTGGTCTAGGGCATCTGGCACCACTGACCAACCTTTGCTGTATGCATCTTCTACGGCTATGAAAGGAAAGCTGGATGATTAAAAGAGTGAATGCGCAGCAGAGTAGATAAGAATTTAAACATAGAGGATGCAGGCGAGCAGGTCTGAAGAGAACAGAGGTCTGGTTCTTTTCATATTTATTACTGTTCTTCCTAGAGTTGAGATGAGGAATGTTTTATTGGTTTAAACAACAACTAACCATCCTGGCTTAAATATAATCTAAATAGTAAAAAAACAAACAACAACAACAACAAAAAACCCAATAATGACAAAGCCACTTCATCTAGGGAAAAGGACAGTGGTTTGGGGAGTCAGGAAATCCAGTGTTATCCATTTATTTTGACAAAATTTTAAAGACTTAACATGTGCTAGATACCAGAAATTCCAAGGTGAATGTTAAATAGTTGTCACAGGAAAGGAGTTCATTTTGTCCTAAATCTTCCTCTGACTTGCCAAGTGGAAATTCACCTGGTTTTAAGTTATGTCTTGCTTAACCACGGGGATATGTTCTCTTGGGTGATTGCGAGATTGTGCTAACGCCCAGGTGTACTTAAACAACCTGAGATGTTGCATGACACTAGGCATTAAAATCTTTATTGACTGAAATGTCATAGTGCATGACTATAGTTTGAATTAAAACCCTCCAAATACACTAAAACACATCAAATATTCTAGCACTTCATTAAGAAAACAATTATTTTTGGAGGTTGCCAAGGTACTATTATTCTTTAAAAAAAAAACTGCTAAAAGGGGAAAATAAAGTATTTATACTTCTCTTTTTTTTTTTTTTAACACAATCTGTTTCTGGAAGTGTGGAGGGAAAATACATGTACAAAATACACCAATGAGATTAGCTAATCCCAAAGCTTCTGATAAGCGTATCTGTTTTGCCTATCTTGGAGAGAGATTAAGGTGAAAGAAAGAGCCTGGTGGGCTGCATAACCATTCTTTGGGTCTAAGACCACTTTCTGGCTTTAAAATGCAGTACTGAGAGTCCAACTGGCTGGGGCATGCAGAAGCTGACAGCCCTTTCCGATTAGAATCACACACACCAGGTACATTGTAGGTGACGTGCGGCGGGTTCGACCTGAGGTCTGCAGCACCGTTGCCTTTTGGCCCCTGCAGCAGTAAGCCCAGTTGCCTTGTCGCCCAGCCAAAAGAGCGGAAGAACAACTTCCAAGCTGGAACCGATACTAAAGAGCATCCGCGCGAGCGCCAAAGGCCACTTCCGGCCGTCGGAGCCGAGGGGCGGGGCGGGGCGGTGCGCGGCGTGCGACTCCGACGTGTGGCGCGCGGCTGCCCCCTCCTGGCGGCGCGGGTGAGACGACGGAGCGGGAGCGCCTGCCCGTCGGTGACCGCGCGCAGCTCGCAGAGCCCTGGGCGTCCTGAGCTGCCCAGCGAGGCCCGTCTCTTGTCAAGAATTTTACCATTATTATTTTAAACTCATAATTTCCCCTGGCCCGCAAAGCGTCCTTTTGCTTGCTGAAAAGGGGAAATTAGAGGAGGGTAGAAAAGATCCCGCCTTCAAAGAGAAGATGGAGGAAGGCGCCCAGAGCCTAGATTCGGATAGTGATGAAACTGTGATTGAGGGGTCGGTGACAGAGAGCGACTTTGAAGACGACGAGCTGCCCTGGAGAAGGTGACCACAGTTAGGCCTGCAGCTTCAAACCCTCGTGCCACTGGGGGCCCAAGCGCTGTTTGAGGGTCTCGGGTGGAGTGAAGTCGTGGGTCTCAAGCTGAGGGCTCGTGGGCAGGTTAGAACCTTGGGGGAGGGGGCAGCCACGCCTGAGCTGAGAATTCTTAAGTAAGCAACAACCATGGGCCCTTCACTCGCCTGCTAGCGACAAAATACGGTTTACAGTATATGGCCTCATGGCATTTACCAAAAAAATTATTTCCTCTTAGACTGGGGCTGTATTTACTTTTGCATAGGCACAACAGTCTTGGGATGGAAGTCCTCAAATGAGTTTTGCTTCAAGCTAATGAACAGCATTTCTCTCAGGAAAAGACTGTGTGATAGGGAAACTGGTCCCGACCCAACTGAACGGATGTTGTAGAAGGACAAAAAAATTGGAATTTCGGTTCATCAAAGCTTTTCTTAAACATCTTCTCTGTGCTCCACACAGGAAGACTCGAAAGGATAGGGCTGCTTGCTTTTGAGAAAACTTAAGACCAGGAAAAACACTTAAGCAGATAATTTCAACATTCCACAGGAAATCTAGGGATGGAGGTATTTCCAAGATAGTTTAGGAGCCCAGAGAGACTCAACCTCAGGGTAGAGTTTGTTAGGGTTGGTTTATGAATAAAAGCTTGAAGGTGTGTTAGGAATTAGCCAGATGAGGAAGAGGTTGAATTCTTGGTCAAGGATCGAAAGGGGTAAAGGTATAGAGGGGCATAGTTGTGGTATGTGTTTTGGAACGTACAAGGGGTTAAATCTTGTAGAATTGTAAAGTATGATGTTGAAAGTAGTGAAAGAGGAAGCTAGGGTGCAGCCATGTAAGGCCTCATGTGTGTTCTGTGTATTCTGGTTAAGATGCTCATCATAATTAGATTTCCATTCACTCTGGTATGCCCCAAATTAGGGGTTTCAAATTTTAATCTGCTTTTAAGTCACTCTGGAATTCTGCTAAATTGTGGATGATTCCAGTTCAGGAGTTCTACAGTGAAGTCCAAGTTTCTGCATTTCTAAGAAGCTTCCGGTTTAAAGCTGGTACTGTTCAAGCAGGGATCTTCTTTTGCAAAGCAAGCTTTGGGAGCAAAGTAGAGTGAGATGATGGGGATTAAATTAGGAAGAACCAGTGGGAATGGAGGGAAAAGGTCAAATTTGAGAAATCTTTAGGAAGTAGATTTGGTAGGAGATGCTGGTTGATTATATAAAGGGGCAAGGGAAGAATGTAAAGAGTGATATCCAGGTTTCTGGTTCTTTTATATGTGTATATATAGTAGTTTATGCTCTTGTTGGAATATAGAGAGCATTTTAACAAATGCATGGAGTCTCATAATCATCCTCCAAATCAAGATTCAGAACAATTTCATTACTGTAAAAAAAAAAATGTGTGCTGCCCCCTTAGTCAAGCTGTACTTCACCCCCTCAATTTGATTTATTGTTCTCTTGTATGTAAAGTAACTTTTTTCTCTGCCTTCAAAGTTTTTTTTTCTTTTTTATTGGTACTTTTTAATTATACATAAGAGTAGGATCCATTGTGACATAATTATAAAAGCATGGAATATATCCCAATTGCTCCCTACCCTCTACTGATCTCAAAAGGCAAAACAGAAGACAAAGGCAAGGTTTTTTCTTATCTTTGGTGCTCAGCAGTTTGATTATGGAGCATGATTTTCTTTTTCTTTTCTTTTTTTTTGTTTGGAGTTCACTGAGCTTCTTCAATCTGTAAATTAATATCTTTCACCAACTTTAGAAGTTTTTCTGTCATGATTCCTTCAAATATATTTTTTCATACCACTCTTTCTCCTTTCCTTTTGGTACTTCAATGATGTGGATGTTAGATCTTGTGATATTACTTCCCAGATCCTTGAGCCTCTATTTATTTATCTTTAAAAATTTTTTAAAATTTTCTCTCAGTTTTTCAAACCATATAATTTCTAATGCAATCTACCGCTGGGCCACAACCACAGGTCCCTCAAAACTTTTCCTCTAAAATTTCCACTTGGGGTCTAGGGTTGTGGCTCAGAGGTAGAGCACTTGCCTACCATGCATGAGGCCCTGGGTTCAATCCTCAGCACCACATAAAAATAAAATAGAGATATTGTGTCCACCTAAAACTAAAAAATAAATATTTAAAAAAAAAAATTCCACTTGGTTGAGGCTGGGATTCTAGCTCAGTGGTAGAGCACTTGCCTTGTACATGTGAGACACTGGATTCCATCCTCAGCACCACATAAATAATAAATAGATAAAGATATTGTGTTCATCTACAACTAAAAAAATTTTTTTTTAATTTCCATTTGGTTTCTCAAGGTTTATATTTCTCTCCCGAGAATTTCAATCTTCCCATCCATTTGATTAGTATTCTTTTTATCTTAAGGAAGATGGTTATGATAGTTGCTTTAAACTCTTTGACTTATATTTTCAACACCAGGGTTATGGGGTATGGGATCTCTTTCATGTTGAGTAATTTTGGATTGTATCCTGGACATTTTGAATATATTATGTTGTGGACTCTTGACCTTGTTAAAATCCTTTAGAGAGTGTTGGTTTTTATTTATTCTGATAGGCAGTCAACCTAGTTTACTAATTTAGACTTTGTCTTCTGTTTTGCCTTCTGTATGTGTCTTGTGTGGTGGTTACGTTAGTCTTTCCTGTGCTATTTGAGTCTGTCTGTGTGTACATCAAGGAAGTAATCTGGATGTTGAACAATAGTTAATATCATAGTTCAGTTCTTTAAGTCTTAGTAATGCTTCCTAAGGTCTGTTCCACATATGGAACAGTTCAGAACTATGTCTGGAATTTATGTTGGGTCATGTACAGGTGACTCTCCTTTCCCTATCTCTTCTCCAGGATTTTTATACCTGCTTCACTCCCTATACCTGCTTGCTGTTTCATGTGACCAGAAAAACAAGTTTCTCTTAACAATTTCCTATAGCTAGAGCAGGCTTTAGGGCAAAGAGTTAAGAGAGAAGAGGGGGATTTCTCCCATACTCCTCAAACTTACACAGACTCCCTTTCCCAGTTCCTCTATTATAAAAAAGCTTTTTCTTTAGTATTTAAGTGCCCCAGATGCATGGTTGGTATTGGTACAGGTCAGAGGCTGGGACTGGCCTTGAGACAGGGCTGGGAAATCAGAGAGAAACGAAAGAAAACCCAGTGATTTCCTATACACTTCTGGATGGAAATAGGTATTTTCTTTCTTTCTTTTTTGATGCTGTGTCCACTGTGTAGTTCTGGGATTAGACTTTAAATCAAAGCTACTAGACAAAAAACAAAACAAAACAAAAAAACAAAAACAACAACAACAACAACAACAAAAAACCAAAGAGACTAAACAAACAAAACCAAACGAAATAATAAACTGAAACTTTAATAATAAATGGATATTACAGGTGATTATTGAGATTTCATTTTCAGTTTCCAGTCTAACCTGATATTGCTTACTTTTCGGAGTTCTCAGATAGCCTTTAAAAAATAGTTTTCTAGAGTTTTTAGTTGTAATGAGTTAGAGAAATAGGCTATAGATGGCTCACTCTATCTTGGCCTGCCAGTCTCCCCCGCCCCCCAATTCATTTTTAAATATTTATCTGCAATGTGGTAGGAACATTCTTTCAAACTTTCTAGACTAATATTAAAAATTAGTGTTCTTTCAGTGAAACAAAGTCTAAGCAGAACTGGAGCCAAATGCCAGGTTTTTTGGTTTTCCTTTTCTTTATCTTCTTCTGTATAATTAATTTTGGCTGTTTATCATGTAGGAGCTCCCAATTTTGATTGGAATGAGGAGTATAGATCCTAGTAGGGCAGGGATCTCCAACAGGCAGAACATTATACAGTTCCATATAGTTCAGTATTCCTGAAGAACTGTAGCTGCTAAGATGTTTTTGATGAGAATGGAGAATTTCATGACCTTTGGGATTAGAAGAGGCAGTACTTTCAGAAGAAGCACTTGAGAGCCTGAGAAATCTTGTCCTAAGGTACATTTAATCCTCTTTGTGGCTTTATAGGTATTGCTGCTAAGCTGTAAAAATTCAGGATACTAACAGGGTTTTGTTTGCTTGTGATTTTTTTTTTCCCCTGAGAGGCAAGATTCATTTTTCTTATATATGCTCTGGGTACTTATTAACAAACCTTATTTTCTGTCTCAGCCTCTGGTATGTTAACTGCTCAATAACATGAAGGTTATATCTCAATTTAATCCTATTCAGAATTATGGAACTACCTCATTGTTACATGAATTTGAGTTTATCTTCAGTGACCTGAACTCAGATTTATGTAACAGTGGGGTAGTTCCATAATCATGTCCTCTGAACATTATAATTGCACATAGTATACCTATGAACCTGAAAGATAGGTATTAATTCTGTTCCTTCAAGATAGATTAGTAATGTATTCATATGAATTGCCTAGATTGAAAATACTTGTTATAATATGTAACAACAAATCTCACCATTATGTATAATTATAATGTACCAATAAAAATATGGGGGAAATAAATAAAAATAAACACAAACAATAAAACATTAATACAAAATAAAATACTTATTAAAAAGGAGATGCTCCTACTTGAGGAAGCTAGGAACGAATATAAAGTACAGGAAACAAAATTAATCATATTAAATTAGCTAATGAAAACAACCATTTGGGGCAGGATCTATGTCAAAGTAGAGGCTATTGCACTGATGAATGCAGAATGGTTACTATTTTTAGAGGTGTTACTGTAAAAGGATATTTTAATTTTTTTTTTTTTTTTTTTTTGTGAATCAGACTCAGTATGGCATTAGGACTCTGTGCTGTCAAAATTTTGATAACATAAAACTGAAACCCTAATTGTCATGAAAATTTTCATTGTACTTTTTTTTGGTACTGGGGATTGAACTCAGGGGCACTTTACAACTGAGTTACATCTCTAGCCCCTTTTTATATTTTATTTTGAAACAGGGTCTGCCTAAGTTGCAAGCCTGGCTTTGAAT